GAATATAGAAAGTCTAGGGTTCAGATCAGTGTTTTTCAAAGGAACTGTACAACGCTATTGTCAAATACCAAAAATTCACATCATAAAGATGTGAACCTTCACTAATGAAGTCTTTGTATTTAACAAAATCCCAATAATAATAGGTTTTCTTCATGGAGGGGAGAGGGTGGTAACTAGGTATGGTTCTTTAAAGTTTTTATTTTAAACACACACACACACACACACACACACACACACACACACACACAAAGTATTAGAATTCTGTGAAATAGTACTTAAAATGGGGAGACTTACCCCTATGAAAAAGAAAAAAAAAAAAAAAACTGAGCTTCAAAAGTTATAACAATGCAATTCTGCTGCATCAGTAGGCAGACAGATTAATGAAACTAAACAGTTATCCCAGAAATAAACCAAAATCTATATAGGAATTTACAGTATAAAAGAAACCAAAGGAGAAAAGTTGGGACTGTTCAGTAAAATTGGAATGACTAGCCAATATGGCAGAGACTGCTCCTTTTCCACTAAAATTCCTTCTTTTCTTCTTCTTGGCTGCAAGGCGGCCCGGCCCACACAGACTTCACTTTTCAGTCTCCAGTGCAGCTAGACATACCCCTATAATGAAGTTCTCATCACTATAGTTCTCATCTGTAGTGATGTCTGTAGTTTCTGATCACTAGCCCTGGACTTTCTCCTTTGCCCTTCCCACGGTGGGAACCCAGCTATGGCAGCAACTCAGATATGGCCATGCAGATAATCACAGCCACAAATACTAGAGCCACAAGACAGAAGGAACTCAAGCCTCTGAATGATCAGTGGATATGGGCTGTTCCGCTGACCTGTTTTGCTTACAGTGGGACTGTTAAGTGAAGAAAAAAAAAAAAAAAAAAAAACAGGTTCTTCAACAGAGAAACTATAAGGGAAAGAATGGGCTAGAGGGGGAAACGCCAGTTTTAAGAGACTTACAAGACAAAGACAATGCAAGATCAATCTGTAAGTCTGAATACTTGGTTGATGGACTCATAAAGAAAGGCAAGGAGGCAATTACTATAGTATAATACTATATAATATACTGTTTCTTGGCCTGCAAGAAACTTTGTGTTCTTTGAACCATAGCATATTTCAGTCCTTTGGTTACAGCAATTCAACCTAACCCTAATTAATAGAGCATCTAGAGAAAAATTAAGTTGAATTCATACCTAAAATTTCAGATGGATTGAAGACTTAAATCTAAAAAAAAAAGCCCACATGACACTAGAATGAACCAGGAGATAGTAAGTTTTTAAATCTAAAAATGGAAAAGCAGGGTCTTTTAAATATGATACTATGATATTGAGTATTTCCTCCAATGTAAGTAAGAATGTAAGTTCTGCTGTGGAGCAAGAATTGGGGTCTGTCTTGTTTTGTTTTGTTTTTTTTAACTATTTTACAGCCTGGTCCCTAGAACAAGTTCTCACACACAAGAGGCATTTAATAAATAATCGTTGAGTAAATAAATTGGCAATTTTAACTATACAACATTTTTAATAACCTGCACAACAAAATAATAATTATTTCTATACAAATGGCCAACTGAGGAAAATATAAATAGCATATATCACAAGGATAAAAAAGGGGAACTGGTAATTTTGATGTGATATTTTGATAATAAAAATCATAACCCAATAGCAAAACAGACAAAGAACACAAACATAGAAAGAAGATAACTAGAAATAAAAGTGGCTTTTAAACTTACGAAAAAATGCTCAATCTCAATCAAACTATGAAAAATGCAAATGAAAGCACATTAAACTGCCATTTTTTACCTATTGCTTTGGCCAAGAAATAAAATGATCAGTTTGGCAGTCATATTTGACAGGCAAGGGCAGGAGAAATCAGTGTTCTCACTCATTGCTGTTAAATCTAAAATTTGTCAAGGTCTATAAATGGACCAATTTGGCAATAAATTTCTACCAAAATTAAAATGCGTGTAACCTTTGACCTAGCAATTCTACTAGAAATGGATCCTAAAGATACACTCACACGTTTGAAACGATATATATACAAGGTTATTCCCTATAGCTTTGTTCATGATAATAAAAACTGGAAATGATCTATATGCCCATCAATATCGTTAAATACATGATAGCACATCTCTAAAATGGAATACCAAGTATCTACTAAAAAGGAATGCAGTGCTATTATGGAAGAACGTCCAAGAAATATTATTTCAACGAAAAAAGGTACGAAACTGTGGATATTGCTACCATGTGTACAAAAAAAAAAAGAAAAACTGTAATATAGGTTATATGCATGTATATTATATATACTCTGAAATATCTGGAAGAATACACAAGAAAATGGTAACAGTAGTTGTTTCTAGAAGGGTTACTGGGTACTTGGGAGACAGAGGAGGGAGACTTCGTTTTCACTCTACACTCTTTTGTGCCTTTTTAAATCTTGTATGCACTGATAATACTACCTTTCTAAAAATAAATACTTTAAAAAATAACAAAAATACAAATATTCATTGCCAACACCAGATACCTGAAAACTTCTCTAGTGACTCTTACCGTTAACCACATTAGAAAACTACCGAGCTCAACAATTTTAACCCTGTTTCATAATTAAGAATCACAGGAGTAGCAATTAACTACAGCCATCATCTTCTTCTCCCTCAAATAAATATGTATACAAAATAAAGTCTGTCTCTTAATTCCATCTCTGTTATTCATTACTTTCTCTTCAAACGAATTCAACCTCACACCACCTTAAATGGGCATAAAAAGTATCTCAAAATGCTCAAAGGATGGTAGCCAGAACTAACAACTATGCTAATACATTAACACAGCCTCCAAAAAATAAAAATTTGACACAACTGACGCCTTGGCAACAGCCCCAAACAGTGCATCGTCTGCCTTGGAAAATAAAAACATTCTTAGTGACCAAGAGTCCAATGTCAATACTCATGGCCTTGGTTTTGTCCTTAATGTGAAAGTTCTCCCACCTACCCCCTTTAAATTATGGACTAACTTCTCACTTGAGGACTAGTGATTATTACGTTACAGCCATATAAGAGACACTAGGCAGGGATTACTCACCCTGACATTAAATTCCGCTTAAAAGGAAAAATATCTGCAATATACCAAGTCAAGTCAAAAAGCAAGTAGTGAAATAGGATGTGTGGTCATGTTCCACCAATTTTTAACATGATTAATAGGCAAATTTTGTTTGTATATAAAAATATCTGCATATGAAAAGGTTTGTAATCAGGAAAGTTTGTATTACAAGATTTTAGCCAAACGTGAAAGAGAAAAGGGAAGAACTTTTATCTTTATATATGACTACGCTTCATATTGTTTTGTATTATCTAACATGAAATAATCAAAATTAACTTTCACATAAAATATAAGGCTATAGGGGTGCTAAGGCAGGAGGATCACTTGAGGCCAGGAGTTCAACACCAGCCTGGGCAACATAGTGAGACCCTGTCCATAAAAAAAATAACCACCACCACCAGGTGTGGTGGTGTGAATACATAGTCCTAGGTACTTGGGAGGCTGGGGTAGGAGGATCCCTTGAGTCCATGAGTTTGAGGCTGCAGTGTGCTATGACTGCATCACAGCTCTCCAGCCTAGGCAACAGAGTGAGACCCTGACTCAAAATAGTAACAATAATAATAATAATGACTGCTTTATAATAATACATTAGACTTTTGTTTGAAAAGAATGCACCTAACAGCTATATCAGAGACTTTCCTCAAAAGTATGAAATCTAAGAAGGCTGCATAGACCAATCCTGGCAGAATTTAATCCTGAGTTCCTTGCTTATGTCTCCATATACATGGTTCAAATCACTATCTAAGCAACCTCAATGCTAAATTCAGAAAGACACACACATCAACATTTTGCACTTCAGGTCTCCCTCACAGAAACATCTTACTGACTCTATTCCAAGTAGGTATTCCTATTACTCCCATAACTTATTGCAGCCTTAATAGCATTTCATCCTGGATAGCAAAACATTTTTTTTTTTTTTTGAGACAAAGTGTTGTTCTGTTGCCCAGTCTGGGCTGCAGTGGTGTGATCACAGCTCACTGAAGCCTCAACTTCCCAGGTTGAAGTAATCCATGTGTCTCAGCCTCTCAAGTAGCTGAAGATACAGGCACTCGTCAACACGCTTGGCTAATTTTTTTTTTTTTTTTTTTTTTTTTTAAGAGATGGGGGTCTTACTATGTTTTCCAGGCTGGTCTCAAACTCCTGGGCTCAAGCAATCCTTCGACTTTGGCCTCCCAAAGCACTGGGATTACAGGCATGAGCCACCATGCCTGGCTCAAGGCTTCTTTATTCTTTTAAAGCACTCCACAGAAAATATATTATTAAAATGTAGTTCTGGAAAAGGTAAATGTACGGACACAGTAAAAAGCCCAGTGTGATTGCCAAGGGCTAGTGGAAACAGGAAATGAATAGGTAGAGCACAGAGATATTTAGGGCGCTGAAACTACTCCGTAGAATACTATAATGGCAGATGCATGTCATTATTCATTTGTCCAAACTCACAGAATGTACAACACCAAGATTGAGCCTAATGTAAACTACTGCCTTTGGGTGATAATGATGTGTCAATGTAAGTTCATTGATTGTAGTAAATGTACTACTCTGCTGTGGGATATTGACAGGAGGGGAGGTGTTGGGGAGATAGATGAGAACTCTCTCTACTTTCTGCTCAATTTTGCTGTGAACCTAAAGCTCCTCTGAAAGAAATAAGGTCTATTTTAAAAGAAAAAATTAATGTAGTGGCCCTGTAAGGTGAAAAGGATGGCAGAGGCATTTTACAGGTAGGGAAACGTTGGCAGTATTTATATGAAAAAACTTAGCCAAATTTAAAGAATAGCTATGCAGATCCACCCAACAAAGCCTACTATGAAAGCAATGCCAGAACTAAGAACTATGAGGCCAGTCCTAGCTTTCTTATACTGAATTCATATTAAAAAAATAAATAATCATTCGTGGCAAAGAATTTACCCTGTAGATTTGATCTCTGCCAAAGAGTATTAAAAGAAGTGATTTGTTGATGTGGCTGCACTGCTGGTTCTGGCAACGCCGCTCTGAGAGCTCCCGGGTAACGCTGACTCAGCTACCTTCACGCAGGCTCCCGGTCACATCTGCCCACCGTCCTTCAAGCCCCGTGCCCTCCTTCAGAGCTTCTCTCACTCTGGTCACTGGGATACTTGGGGAGTCGAAGAGCCGCTGTTGGGATTATGAATTCTCCAGTGGCTCTCACTTTGGCAATGCGACGCTTAACAACGCTCCAGGCTGCAGGGGGAAAGAAGAAAGAAAACCAGCTAAGCAGAAGAAAATTCTGCAGTTGTGAATGCGGTGGCTAAAGGAAGCGCCACGTTTGGCACGCCTTTCAATTAGGACCACAAAACAAAGCCTATCTACAAATGCAGCATGTACAGAAAAGTTTGAAAACACTGATAAGAAGAGTGCAGAGGTCAGGGATCTGTAACGGTCTTTAAATATTTTTCCAAATAACACAAAAACCAGTAAGATTTGCAGCCGGCACTTTTCAAAATCAAGTTCCTTTAAAGCCTATACACTATGTACTACAGACCTTTCTTCTCTTTCCCTTGCCACACACAAAGTCAAATAAAAATTTGACTCTGCATGTACTATTATGTGCATTTAGTTTGTTTGTTTGTTTGTTTGTTTGTTTTAAAGTCTGAGCAGTACAAACTATAGAATGAAAAGTTTTCCTCCCTTTCCAAGATCCCTGGCCCCTCTTAGAGGCATCCGGCATACCAGAGTAACCAATTGCTTGTACATCCACTCAATCTGATTTTGGTCTATTTTCAAGCAACAGTCTCTGGCATAGACAGAGCTGGTTCAAAGGCTCATAAAACAATGGTAGGGGAAGAGCACAAAGCAAGAAGGGAAGAGGAGGGGAGCTCTAGATAACTAATATAAAACAAAAACCCACCCAGGCTCTCTTTTCCTTTAGGAAGACTTGAAAAACATCAACATTTGCGAAAGGAAGAGGAAATTTTTATTAGAACCAAACTTTCCCATTCAAATCGTTAAGTAACACAAATACTGAAGAACTTACTGCCTTCAGAAAACAGCACCTTTTTTTAACCCTCAAAGAACATTTTGCCAAGAAAACCTTCATGTAAATAAATCTAAGCAGACAATAAACCCCAAATGCAGCGTTCTGCAATAATTATGAGGAAACATCTTTCCATCCACCTTGGAATTCAAGGGAAATGTTTTGCAGATACTATCAAAGTGTTTCTCACTTCAGCTTAAATCAGGGTTCACAATCTATTTGAAAAGAAAATCTAGACATATAATAGGTACAGTAAGAATAAGACATGTACAACTATCCTCCATAGAGAGGTTAACCAGAAATTTGTCTTTTTCAGCAATCACTTAGCAAAGTTAAAGAGCAAAAATGGATTTCAAAAGTGGGCATCCTTAAAAACAAACTCATCAGCTGAGCGGCACCCACAAACCTTTGAGTTTCAGAACAAACTGTTGAAATACTGGTATTTTCCAAGATGCTAGGGCCAGGGAAATTGGGCAGATTCACAGTAAAGCTGCTCTCCCCTCTGTCAAAAACTAACTGCATTGTAAGAGGCCAGTGTTCAGCTGTCCTGCCTACGGTCAACCATGTCTTTATAAATGAGAGTTACTGTATTGACGGGAAGGAAGAGATTTAGATAAGCCAAAAAATAAACACTGGTACAATATATTTCTGATTCTCTTTTTGAAAATCAGAGACTTTTTTCTTCTCATTATGAAGATGCTTCTAATTTGCCATCCAATATCCCAGCCCCGTCATCTTCACTGCACAAAATTCCTTCTCATCCTTTAAGACAGTGTTTGGGTTCTCCTGCCTCTGTCCATCTTCTCTAAAGATTCTTATATTTCCCAGATCTTTCTAATTCCTCTGGTATTTATATTCTATATGACTTAACCTGGCACTTAATTCTCTGCCATGCGCAGGGCTTGTCAAAACCAATTTAAAACTAGGTAAAAATCGCATACTATTCTACAGTTTTTAGCTCTCTTTCACAATACTTAGCATATACTTGGTGCACAAGAGTTAACTGGATTAAAAATTAAATCTCCAAGTTAAATATAATTTAACATTTGTTTTAAAATTCACTGGGCTCTCAATTAAACCATGGACTGCAATCAAAACTGTGGTGTATTACAAGAAAGACCAGGTTGGTAAAATGGGAAATAACATGTTGAGCTAGATACTTAATGCTTCAAATGTTCTACTTGGCACCCATCTCCCCACAAATACCCTTCATATCAATAGGCAAGTTCGGCAGACCTAAAAGGTAACAAAAAACTGTTGTGTTCAAAACCCCAAGAGAGATTGCAAATATAAAAACAATCTCCCTAAAAAGATACACACACTAATTAAATTCAGTGCTATTGTTCAGGCGCAGTGGCTCACGCCTGCAATCCCAACACTTTGGGAGGCTGAGGTGGGCAGATCACCTAAGGTCAGGAGTTCAAGACCAGCCTGGCTGACATGGTGAAACCCTGTCTCTACTAAAAATAAAAAATTCACCGGCCGTGGTGGCAGGCATACGTAACCCCAACTACTCAGGAGTCTGGGGCACGAGAATCACTTGAACCTGGAAGGTGGAGGTTGCAGTGAGCCAAGAGCAGCACCACTGCACGCTAGCCAGTGCAACAGAGGGAGACTCTGCCTCAAAAAAAAAAAAAAAAAAAAAAGTAATAAAAAATCAGTGTTATAAAATAAATATGTATATCATAAACTCTAGCAGCTTTTCAAAAACCATTCATTGAGCTGAGTTTTTCCCAAAAATTTAGCCAACTTATCTGGCGATGGAGTTTCAATTCTTGGCAGCTAATCAAACTCTGTAAAAGTCTGACTCATAAGGGTCAAAAGCACATTCCCGTGCAGGGGGTTGGAGGATGACTATGAAGAGGAAGAAAAATCCAATCAAATTTTCTGACTCTAATTTGGAGCATTTAACATTACAGTACAGTTTTCGGTAATCCAGCTTAAAAGAACAGGCACAGTTTCTTAAAAGTTGTTGCACTATGATGAGACCTGAGTAACAGGCAAGCATAAAAAGCACTTAAAAGCAAACAAGCCCTTGGCAGTCCACACAGGAAGAAAAAAAAAAAAAGTCAAGAGAAGTTTTCTCAGCTCTTTAGTTATAATCATATCCTTTGCTTCTAGAAATTGTGGCTTCTAAACACTGCAAGTCCTTGCCCTTTCAAGAACCATTCCATACTCTCTCTGTCTGTTCACCCAGCCCATAAACCAAATAAACTATGGTGTATCTTGCTGTGGAATTGCCATTAACCAGAACTACTTCAGAAAGCAGGCTACGGTGGCAAGAACACGGACTTCCGCAGCCCAACTCAGTTTTCCAGCCTATTAAATGTGACCTCCACAACTCATTTAAACTCTGAGTTTCAGTTTCCTTTTCCATGAAATGGGGTAAATACTCTTCATCTTTGAGAGTTACTAATTATAGCAGCTATCATTTAGTGAGTTTTTGGTTCTAAAACTGTGCTAACCACATTACTTGCATTGTCTGACATAATCCTAACAACAAAATTGAGGTTATTCTATTTCCAAATTATACATTAAAAAAATGTGAATGACCATGAGAAATGGGAATTTCCAGGAATTTCTCCAGAATATATTGTTCTTAAAATACTTCCATTGTTTGCTCATTATTATGGATATCTAAAAACATTGTTAAATAGGAAATATCACACTTAGCAGTAGTTACAATACATTGTAGCCTATAGCAAACACTAAGATCCTGGAAAATGCCAGTGAACATTATTGGATGTTACACCAGTAGCAAGCAAAATCCAGCACACAGTCTGGTTTTGTAAATAAAAGTTTTATTGGAACAGCATACTTGTTCATTTTATGTATAGTCTATGGCTGCTTTCACACTGAAATGGTAGAAGTGATAGTTATAACAGAGTCCGTATGGCTTGCAAAACCTAAAATATTTACTGTCTGCCCCTTTAGAAAGAGACTTTGTTGACCACTACAATAACCTACATTTGAATCTACAAGCAAATTAACAGTACTACACAGAATCATTATGTTGAAGTTGCCAATTTAAAGACTCAGTTTACTTCTAAAACTTATTTCTTGTAATAACAAGCATAGGATATGTACACAGTATGCTATGCATATAGGCTTATTTTATTTGCAAGGATGACACATTGAGGGTAGTAGCAGACTGGGCCACAAAGACACATTTTTAACATGGCAACGGCGAGAAGAAATCATGACCCATTCTCTCCCACAGGCTCCTATCCTGTGCTGGCTCTGAAAACGGTGGATCTTACCCTTCACCTCTCCAAGTCAGCTTTTCCTGTTCTTGCTTTCAACCTGACATCACTGGATTCTTTCTACTGTCTTTGCATTGACTCATACAATTCTCACAGGAGAATTATAACACTTTTCCCATTTATCTCATAAGTGATTTTTCTAGAGATCTGGAAAAACACGTATACTTCCCAAGAAATCCTGAGAAGGAATTCTGTGAAGGAAACATTATTCTCTCCAGGTGTACGTGTAGAGAGAGTAGGAATCAAACATGTTAGACTTCTAGAGAATGAAGAAAAAAAAGCTGGGGAGGGAGGGCAGAGCATAAGAAAAAACAAAAGCTCCAAGAAGTTTTAGGAAAACATTCAGGTCTGCCTTACAGCCTAGAAAGAAGACCAGGCCAAAGTGGAAATACAGTAAAGATGGGTTTTCCTAATGTTTTGGCCCAAATATTAGAGCACCTTTCTCCTCCAGAATTTAAAGAAATATAATTTGGCTAAGACAAAAGGGGCCTGCCGTGGATGACTTAATTACAGACAGTAATTAAGTACCAGAAAACACTTGTAAAGATAATCTGCCTTCACTCTGTAACCTGTAAACCCTCAAGTGAAGTGGTTTGGTGGTCCATCAAAATCCCTTTCATCTGTCCAGCCAACGACTCATTTGCTCCTGCCAGAAATATAAAGGAAGGGAATCAAGGAGAAAATTTGATGCAACAAAGGCAGTGAGTGGGCTACAGTAGCATAAAGAAGGTTCCAGGCTTGAACCAAAGGGTTCTGAGTTGGATCCCAGCCCCAGCCCATGTAATCTTCTCTGGCAAAACAGGCATCATGACTTCCGTGCGGAGTTGCCACATATGAAGTACATGGCACTCAGTGGATACTAATAAATGGCAGCTAAGGTTGTAAACTCAATATTTAAGAAGCAGCTACAAAAAGAGACGGTGATAATGACTGTGGTTGATTTACTAGGTTGAATCCTATGCAATTGCTGAGTTTTGACCATTTTGATTCATCAAAATAGCCATTTTGGGCCAGGCACGGTGGTCCATGCCTGTAATCCCAGCACGTTGGAAGGCCAAGGTGGAGGACGGCTCGAGCCCAGGAGTTAGAGACAAGCCTAGGCAACGTGGCAAAATCCCAGCTCTACAAATAATTTTAAAATTAGCCAGGCATGATGGCATACACCTGTAGTCCCAACTACTCAGGAGGCTGAGATGGGAGGACTGCTTCAGCACCGGAGGCTGAGGCTACAGTGAGCCATGTTCACGCCACTGTACTCCAGCCTGGGCAACAGAGCAAGACCCTGTCAAAAAATAATAATAATAAGCAACTTTGAAATAAATATTATAAAGGGCTCTGCAGGAAGCCTGGAAAGAGAGAACATGAAAGACAAATAGACCAATACTTATTCTTCCACTGGTGGTGACTTAGAAAAAACCCAGACACCAAACAGGAAGGCTACAGACTAAAACAGAATACCCCCTTAAGTCAACTCCTCACTAGATAGGAGGTGTGACTTCAGAGAAGATCAGATTCCACAAGAGACAGACACGCATGCACTCCTCACTTATAAGTAGCCCATATCACTCACTCCTTTCTCTTTTTTATTTTTTTTGAGAAGGAGTCTCACTCTGTCACCCAGGCTGGAGTGCAGTGGCACAATCTCCACTCACTGCAACCTCTGCCTGCCAGGTTCAAGTGACTGTTCTGCCTTAGCCTCCTGATTATCTGGGATTACAGGCGTATGCCACCACACCTGGCTAATTTTTGGTGGAGACACGGTTCTGCCATGTTGGCCAGGCTGGTCTGAAACTCCTGGCCTCAACTGATCTGCCTGCCTCACTCTCAAAGTGCTGGGATTAGAGGACTGAGAGATTATCGCATCCAGCTACCCGTTTCTCACTCTTTTCTTTATTCCTGCGTCCTCCCTTTTCTATCCTGATTTCTTTCCCTATGCAAGGCCCACTGAAATCTTTGATTAACCAGTTTAGGAAAGAAAGAAACACAGCCTTTCTGGTCAACTTATGTTACCTCCTTTTAGAAAGGAGGCCTTTCTATAAGCCTTTTAGAGTAGCTAGTAGCTCAATGCAGACATTCCAATGGATCCATCACACTTTCCCCCTATTTTTCTAATTATCCTTCATTTTTTTCAAGTCCTGTTAGCCCTCAGCCAGTTAACACGTCTGTGGCGGTTCCATGGAGTCAGATCAATTCCTGAGTGAGAAATGAGTTTCATGACAACCCCTAGGCCAGGGATCCCCAAACTCCAGGCTGTGGATGGGTACTGGTCCATGGCCTGTTAGGAACTGGGCCACATAGCAGGTGAGCGGCTGGCAAACGAGCATTAAGCCTGAGCTCCACCTCCTGTTAGATCAGATCAGTGGTAGCATTAGACTCTCACAGCAGTGAACCCTATCATGAACTGCGCACGTGAGGGATCTAGGTTACACACTCATGAGATTCTACCTAAGGCCTGGTGATTTGAGGTGAACAGTTTCATCCTGAAACCATCCCTCTTCCTCTCCACTACTCCATCCACAGAAAAAATGTCTTCCATGAAACTGGTCTGCTGTCCTAAGCTAACCCCAAGTAGCTCTATTCCAGCTGTATGTGCATCTCCAGATGGTTCTCAGCAAAGAATGAGAGCATCCTGAGTGAGCATCTTGAGTGGAGAGGGACTGAGAACAAGCGGAAGGGAAGGAGGAACCAGCCACTTCTTCCATTCATTCCCCCAACACACGACTCCCTAAACAGAATCAGACTTCTCTGGTAATTAGCTAGCCTTTCTGTCTGTTTGGCTCAGTTTTCGTGTGTCTACACCCCACTGCAGCAGCGCTCCAGCTCTGCTCATTACCATGAGACATCCGTGTTGTAACTGTTGTCTGGCAGGAATGTGGTAATCCTTGGTGATTACACTCACACGTAAGACTGTACAGGCTTTCATCAGCTCATGATCTCAGGCGCTTTTACGAGAGTTCGCAAGACTGCCACCCACCAGGCCAGGACCAGATTTTCTGGTTTTCTAATGGAGGTGTCTGGCATTTTGTTTCTCCTAAGCTGTACTATTCACCTTCACTAGACAGATATTTAGCAAAACTTCAACGAGGAGCCTCTAGAAAGTAGGGACTCTTGTGTATTCAATGTGCTGCTCTATCTCCAATGCCTAGTCTAGCACCATGACAGACTATTTAAATATCTATGGAGTGAATTAAGTTTAAAATTATAGAAAAAGACTGGGCGCAGTGGCTCATTCCTATACTCTCAGCAATTTGAGTGGCCAAGGCAGGAGGACTGCTCAAGCCCAGGAGTTTGTGATCAGCCTGGGCAATACAGTGAGACTTAATCTCTACAAAAAATTTAAAAACTTAGCCAAGCATGGTGGCATGTAACTATAGTCCCAGCTATTCAGGAGGGTGAGGCGGGAGGACTGCTTGAGCCTGGGAAGTAGAGGCTGCAGTGGGCTATGGTCACAGCATGGCACTCCAGCCTGGGTGACACAGTAAGACCCTGTGGAAGAAAGGAAGGAAAGGAAGGAAGAGAAAACCGAAAAGCATTAATAATTTCAAGCTCATAAACTTGGCAAAGAAAAATAAACTTCTCTATCACTATGGCTAAATTTCTACCCTAGGCTTAAATTTGAAGCAGTAGCAAGAAGGACCAAACAAGCTCATACCTTCCTCCAAGTATTTATGTCATTACCAAGCTAAGAAAATTTTCACCAGATCACAATTCCTAATTAAAACTAAGAGGCCGGGCGCGGTGGCTCAAGCCTGTAATCCCAGCACTTTGGGAGGCCGAGGTGGGTGGATCACGAGGTCAAGAGATCGAGATCATCCTGGTCAACATGGTGAAATCCCGTCTCTACTAAAGAAAAAACAAAACAAAACAAAAAATTAGCTGGGCATGGTGGCGCGTGCCTGTAATCCCAGCTACTCAGGAGGCTGAGTCAGGAGAATTGCCTGAACCCAGGAGGCGGAGGTTGCGGTGAGCCGAGATCGCGCCATTGTACTCCAGCCTGGGTAACAAGAGTGAAACTCCGTCTCAAAAAAAAAAACTGAACAAGAATAAACTGAACAAAAGACAATCAACTTTTCTAATTGTTTGGTTCAATTATTATTGCCCACCAGCATATAGGCATTTCTTTTTTTTTTTTTTTTTTTTTTTTTTTTTGAGACGGAGTTTCGCCCTTGTTACCCAGGCTGGACTGCAATGACGCACCGCAACCTCCGCCTCCTGGGTTCAGGCAATTCTCCTGCCTCAGCCTCCTGAGTAGCTGGGATTACAGGCACGCGCCACCATGCCCAGCTAATTTTTTGTGTTTTTAGTAGAAACGGGGTTTCACCATGTTGACCAGGATGGTCTCGATCTCCTGACCTGGTGTTCCACCCGCCTCGGCCTCCCAAAGTGCTGGGATTACAGGCGTGAGCCATCGCGCCCGGCCGCATATAGGCATTTCTAAAGCTAGTCTAGAAACTGCTTGCCCACTGTGCAGAGAGAATATGGTAAGGAAGGAAGGGAGGCAAGGAGGGAGGAAGCAAGGAGGGAGGAGGGGAGGGAAGGGGAGGGGAAGAAAGGAAGGGAGGGAGGGAGGGAGTTGTGACTATTTTCTGAATAGTCACAACATTACTCTACTGGGGATAATCTAGTTAGTATATTTGAAATTCCATGTATTTTTTTCTATTGTATGCATGTATTACACTTGTATATAATACAGAGTTTCCAGTTGTTAAAGAACATAGTTTTAAAAATGAGAAACATGATCTATAATCTCAAACAAACCTAGGACAAATTAATATTTTCCAAAAGGTATAGTTTTTCACTTGGTTACAAAGAAATTAATTATATTCTAATTGATGCAGAAACTCCAGAACAACCATTATTCCTTTTTTATAATTTCATATAGTCTTGAGCCATTGTGAAAATCCACTCAAAACCATCTAATTCATTTTTTGCATAATTAAAATGGAGGCAGAATGTCATTTCATTTCATGAACTTATGGGACAGTGGATTTTAGTTCAATGTGAGATGTAAACTTTTCAGAACTTATTTTTAACCAGTTTTATATTTCTAGTTGTTCTTCCCAGGAAAGTGTCTGAAAGACACTAATTGAAAGACAGTGTTTTGGTCTTTGATGGAGGGAGGGAGGGAGGGAGGGAGGAGGGAGGGAGGGAAGAAGGGAAGGAAGGAAGGAAGGAGGGAAGGAAGGAAGGAAGGAAAAAAAGAAAAGAAAAATGAAATGAACAATGTTTTGTGTGGCCTCATCGGTTTTATGTGTGTGTATATACTACATACCCATAATTATGTCAGTATTTGTCAGTCCTGTAATGAGTTAATCTGAAACATTAACCTATACGCTTCTTGGAGAGAAAAATAGCCTTTTATTTATCTTTGCATGTGTAACAATTGCGATAGTATCCCTTCCATACTAACTAGTCAACAAATACTTGTTGGCCTATGAACAGTGAGTTAATTTAAAATAAGATTTAAGTCAAGAATTTAGGTAGCTCTGGGTCTACCGCTGACTTGGTGGGCTTGAGCATTAGTGTCTTTCAATTCTGCTCTATCGTCTCTATGGGACCGAGCAGAGTCTTCCAGGTCCGACGGAGACAACACTGAACTGATGAGCTAGACATGCCCCCGCACCACTGCTGTGTGACACTCAGAAGTCACTAACCTTCTCACTCACCTTCTCTGTTATCCTTTTATCCTAACTATAAACAGAGAGCAGTGGCCCAAGTCACTAAGTTTCCTTCTAGCTCAAAGATTCTGCTTAGACATTTGTTTCATGATGGTTAGCAGGATTCCCCAAGAATTATGCTAACAGCAAGGGGTAGTCTTTAATTAAAGATAAGTTTTTTGGGCCAGGTGTAGTGGCTCACACCTGTAATCCCAGCACTTTGAGAGGCTGAGGTAGGCAGATTGCTTGACTCCAGGAATTTGGTAGTCCACCCCAAGCCATCCTGCCTTCACTTAGCTGGAGAGGTGCTGGCTGTGGCCCGGGGACTGAAGCCAGCTGTGCTCTATGATTGCAACTGTGCGGGGGCATCAGAGCTCCAGAGCTATCTGGAGGAGCTACAGGGGCTTGGTTTCCTGACCTCTGGACTTCACATCCTTGAGATTGGAGAAAACAGCCTGATTGTCAGTCCTGAGCATGTATGCCAGCACTTGGAGCAGGTGCTGCTTGGTACCATAGCCTTTGTGGATGTTTCCGGCTGCCAGCCTCACCCTTGTGTCTGCTCTCTGGACCAGCTTCAGGACTTGAAGGCCCTCGTGGCTGAGATCATCACACATTTGCAGGGGCCGCAGAGGGACTTATCTCTAGCAGTTTCCCACAGCAGGCTCCATTCCTCAGACTGGAATCTCTGTACTGTATTTGGGATCCTCCTGGGCTATCCTGTCCCCTATACGTTTCACCCGAACCAGGGAGATGACAACTGCTTAGCTCTGACTCCACTACGAGTATTCACTGCCCGGATCTCATGGTTGCTAGGTCAACCCCCAATCCTGCTCTATTCCTTTAGTGTCCCAGAGAGCTTGTTCCCAGGCCTGAGGGATATTATAAACACCTGGGAGAAGGATCTCAGAACCCGATTTAGGACTCAGAATGACTTTGCTGATCTCAGCATCTCCTCTGAGATAGTCACACTGCCGGCTGTGGCCCTCTGACTTTAACTCTCCTCTCATACAGAAGGTACTCAGTAAAAGATCATCTCTAGGTTGGGGATGGCAAATAATCATCTCAAGTGCCAATTCCAGGTGTCTTGAGTACACTAAGGCACAATGCAGTAATAATTGGCTGCAAATGCAAAGGGCATGGAAATAGGTAATGCTGGTGCTGGTAGCAAATTGGTAAATAGTACATACTTGCCATTTCTATACCAGGAAGTCCTCTTAGTGGAGATGTTTTCCTTCTACCTCTTATCCTGCTGGGGAACATGGCAAAACCTCGTTTCTACAAAAAAATACAAAAGCCGGGTGTAGTGGCTCACGCCTATAATCCCAACACTTTCAGAGACCAAGGTGGGTGGATCACCTAAGGTCAGGAGTTTGAGGCCAGCCTGGCCAACATGGTGAAACCCCATCTCTACAAAAATACAAAAACAATTAGTTGGGCATGATGGCAGATGCCTGTAATCCCAACTACTCAGGAGGCTAAAGTGGGAAAATCGCTTGAACCCGGGAGGTGGAGGTTGCACTGAGCCAAGATTGTGCCATTGCCTGGGCAACAGAGTAAGACTGTGTCTCAAAAAAATAAAAATAAAAATAAAATTAGGTGGGCATCGTAGTGGGTCCCAGCTACTCAGGAAGCGGAGGCTCAAGGCTTGCTCAGACTGAGATCATGTCACCGCACTCCAGCCTGGGCAACAGAGCAATAGCAGAACTCTGTTTCCAAAAAAAAAAAAAAAAAAAAAAAGATGGCTTTCCAATCTACCTCTGTACTGAGATAGCACCCACTAATTAAAGAAAAAAAGTAAAAATAACATTTTAAATTTAATTTAGCAGTTTCGTTCGTAACTCACAGAATTTAGCTGCCTTTTTTTTTTTTTTTTTTTTTTTTTTTTTTTGAGACAGAGTCTCACTCTATCTCCCAGGCTGGAGTGACTCACTGCAACCTCCACTTCCCGGACTCAAGCAATTTTTGTGCCTCAGCCTCCTGAGTAGCTGGGACCATAGGCACTCGCCACCATCCCTGGATAATTTTTAATTGTTTTATGTTTAGTAGAGATAGGGTTTCACCATGTTGCCAGGCTGGTCTCGAACTCCTGACTTCAAGTGATCCACTTGCCTCAGCCCCCAAAGTGCTGGGATTACAGGCGTGAGCCACTGTTCCTGACTGAGGTTTGCTTTTAATTTAATTTGCTCACCAATCATTTGCTTGCCAACTGAGGGATAACTGAGTAAGAAAATGCACAAACAGAAGTAGAGTAACAGTGGGAGTCTATCAAGAACAATCTCTCAAGGGGGCAAAAGAATACATACAGGTTCCCAAGACTAAAGGCATCATGTCCATCTTACTCACCATCCCAAATCTACTATTCTTTCTTTAATGTCCTATCTTTTGTAATGGACCCACTGTTGAATCCTGTAGACAAAGCCAGAAACCAAGCTGGCCTTACAAACCCCACCACTGCCTTCATCCCAGTCCAGGACATCTCTTACCAGCAGTGCTCCAACTGACTCTATGGTCTCCTCTATGTCCCTGCCATGAGTGTAGTAAATCGTTCACTGAGTGAGGCTCCCTAGTGCCTCTCCTCTGCTTAAAGCCATCAGTGGTTCTCCTAGCATGTGTAGATTTCCTGATTTTCATGATCTGGCCCCAGACATCTCCGACATCATCGAGTTATCAACTCACAGGTATCCTCACCCTAACTGTATCTTACAGCTCCCTGGGGACACCATGATCTTGTTCACCTTCTGCCTTTGCACTCGTCTGCCTAAAATGTCTTCTTCCATCTGGCAGACTCCTATGCTTCAGGATCAGCCCCAGCACCACCTCCCAAAGCCCCCATGTCTACATCCTGTCTGAAATATTCATACATGCCCCCTCATCTGTTGTTCCCAAACTTAACTATTATGGCCCTTAAAAGTGCATTTCAGCCAGGCATGGTGGCTCATGCTGGTAATCCCAGCATTTTGGGAGGCCAAGGTGGGCAGATCACTTGAGGTCAGGAGTTCGAGACCAGCCTGGCCAACATGGTGAAACCCCCATCTCTACTAAAACTACAAAAACTAGCTGGGTGTGGTGGCGGGCTCCCATCATCTCAGCTACTCAGGAGGCTGAGACAGGAGAACTGCTGGCACCCGGGAGACAGAGGTTGCAGTGAGCCGAGATCACATCATTATACACCAGCCCGGGTGACACGAGCAAAACTCCCATCTCAAAAATAAAATAAAATAAAATAAATAGGCCTTTAATAAATGTTAATAAATGGTGTACCATGATAATGGATTCAAAGCATAAGACGGACCATCCAGGAGAAATACGAACAATTTAAAAAATCAAAGAGAATTATGCTAATGGCAAAAAAAGGAGGTAGACTTACTGGAACATTTTTAGTGTTGTCATGGCTTTTAACTCAAAGCAAAAAACAAAACAAACTTCCCCAAACCCTAAGTTATAGACACTGAGAGAACTACAAAGTGTTTCTGAGTTCATACAAAAAGACAATGTGTAAACTACATGTATATACCCAACCACAGCTTCCTACTGACTTACATTTGAAAACAAAGTATTCCCTACTCTAACATTTTAGAACATAATCTTGTTTCTAAATTTTATACACACACGGAAAGAAAAAAACTTGAGAAAATACTTAAATACCATGCAAACAATGTAATATTACCAGAAACTAAATTGCTATCAGTAAAATGTAAGAAGGGAGATGCTTTGTTTCACTAAAAAAAAAAAAAAGTAATTTTTTTCCCAGAGAATTATTCTCAAGACGGTCACTTGGACTCACACCCCCATACACTTCCCTTGCTAAGCTCTCACTGGCTGGCCTCCTTCCAGATGTTGTCAGTCAAGGTGACTGAGGGAGCTGAAGCAGGAAAAAGAAGCGTTCTTCCTCGCATCATGACAATACTACATTTGCTACATTTTTTGTCTCAGACACAGGGTCTCACTCTGTTGCTCAAGTTGTAGTACAGTAGCAGAATCATAACTCACTGTAGCCTTGAATTCCTGATCTCAAACAATCCTCTCACCTTGGCCTCCCAAAGCACTAGGATTACAGGAATGAGATGCTACACTTGGCCTTTCTCCTTTTTGCTTTTTTTTTTTTTTTTGAGATGAAGTCTTGCTCTGTTGCCCAGGCGGGAGTGCAATGGCATAATCTCAGCTCACTGCAACCTCCGCCTCCCGGCTTCAAGTGATTTTTCTGCCTCAGCCTCCCGAGTAGCTGGGACTACAGGCGCGCATCACCATGGCCAGCTAATTTTTGTACTTTTAGTAGAGACAGGGTTTTACCATAGTGGCCAGGCTGGTCTCGAACTCCTGACCTTGTGATCCATGTGCCTCGGCCCCGCAAAGTACTGGGATTACAGGCGTGAGCTACCGTGCCTAGCCCGGGCTTTACCTTCTTAAAGGTTTTTTTCCCACCCCGCTATCCATTTTCTCAGCCCCCAACCTGTTTATATTACACTGGGAAGAAAAGACAAATAACACACATTACTATATAATGTTATTCAACTTACTTTAATAAGCATGAAACAGGTAACATAAAGGAGGCAATGGCCAAAGGCAAATGTTAAAAGTAGGAAGATCCAAGGACTAATAAATGCCTGTTATGAGGATTTGCTGGCTGGGATCCCTTTTTCACATGAAATCGCTTAATACATGAGTCATTTGAACTCACGACTGCACTGAATCGTTTCATGTGTTCAAGAAAACCTGCAATGAAAATAACCCAGAAGTCCTGAAATGCCAATGACTCTCCATTCAAAATAATGAGGGTGGCAGATCTACCCCAGAAAAAGCAAAAAACACAAATACGTGCTTAGAAAAAACAGTGTTTAATCCTGTCATTTTCATAAAACAAGTGGGCAGAGTAATGTGAGATTTTTTTTAGTTTATCGAAATTGAGACTGGGTTACAATTTCAAAGGTTGAGAATTCACTGTTCTGGAGGGTTCTATGAGAGTCAACACTGGTGTCTACCCTCTGCCCACTGTGGGGTTGGACCAGGAACGGGGTTTCTACCCTGTGAGTTCATCCTGTGAACTCACTCAGTTCACAGGATGATCAGGAGAGCCCAGTGGCTTCTACTCCAATAATGTTAGCTTTAAAATCAGTGTTGCCAGGTACAGTGGCTCACGCCTGTAATCCCAACACTTTGGGAGGACGAAGAAGGTGGATCACCTGAGGTCAGAAGTTCGAGACCAGCCTTACCAACATGGAGAAACCCCATCTCTACTAAAAATACAAAACATTAGCCAGGCATGGTGGTGCATATCTGTAATTCCAGCTACTCGGAAGGTTGAGGCAGGAGAATCACTTGAATCTGGGAGGCGGAGGTTGTGATGAGCCAAGATCATACCATTGCACTCTAGCCTGGGCAACAAGAGCAAAACTCCATCTCAAAAAAAAAAAAAAACAAAAACAAATCAACCTTACATGCTAATAGTTTCTCTGTCAGGATGGTGAAAATGTCATTAGATAGTAGTGTCAGTTGAACAGTTCTGTGGCTACACTAAAAACCACTGAATCGCACACTATAAAAAGGTGAATGTTTTTGGTATATGAACAACTCAACAAAACTGTTATTTTAAAAATCAGTTTGAAAGGTCTTACAGCCTTTTCTGTACAACTTAGACCTTGAGTACATGCTGGGCTGTGCCTCCTCACCACCTGAACAAAGCTTGTCTCCCAGTTAATTTTTGTGAAACGAGCAAGAGCTATGGAATCACACAGCTTGAAAAATGAACCCAGGCGTGTTACCTCCCAGGCACTGGTATCTGTAGCACATTACTCTCTGCCTGTGTCTCATCTATAAAATAGGCAGACACCACCCCCCAGTCAGATGAGAACTACTGAGAATCTCCAAGTCACCACCAATCTCAGGCTAATACTCAGGAAATGGCAGATAATTAAAATGAAACGGCCTCTAACAAAGGACACATGAGGTATCAGAAGAAAATAAGAGGAAAGACAAAAATGAGGAAGGATGATGACAAGTCAAGAGTCAGGACTGAAGCCTGCCTACCTGGAATCCTCTTTCGGATTCCAGTGGCACTGTGGGAAGATGGGGATGGGCCTGCTCCCAGAATTATATGCTATTATCAAGACTACCTTGTCTGTGACACATAAATCTCTGGACTCTTTAACTCAAGACATTTTATATGAGTAACCACACAACAGAGATATTTTCTATACTTTACTCTCCTCAAGTGTCCCTTAGCATTTGGTC